TTAAAGATGCAAGTCACACTGTATATCCTATTAAGTAGGATATGTATTTTGAGAGCTTTTCCTGAAATCCTTAAGTCAGTCATCCCATCGTCCCCGTAGCAAAGTCATCTACTTGATGTCTGCAGGTTTCAAAGAAGATGGATCCAGCAGACAACTGAAAGTTCCCCTGGGGAATTCTGACCAAGCATTTTACCGTGAGTGTGTACCAAGGTTACACAAGCATATATATTCTCAGCTTAATCTACTTATTTTAAAAGATTCAGAAACAATCCACTCATTCATAAGGGACTTCAGGCAATAACTTATTGCAACAACGAAAATAAAACCAGCAACATAAAACTGAGAAGCATGGCTATTTAACTAGTAAACAATGCAAACCATTTAGCTGGCCAGGTAGATAAAAACACTTTAAACTAGCACAAAAATATATAGTTATTGCTAGTCATACATCCTTCAAAAAGCCATTTGAAGAGACATCCACACTGCAATCATGGATACAAATCTGAAAGTGAAAGTATTCTAATATTTTATGCTGCACACATAAAAGGATAGAGAACATGGGTGAGAAATTTCTAAAATAATGATCCATGAAATAATACTACCTGTAGAAAAGTAATTCTAACATTTCCATCAAAATAACATGTTTTAAAGGCAGTGTGGGGAGATCTTGTCCTTTTGTTACTTTTTTTTATTTATAAAGAGGTGTAAACTAATTCCCTTTTTCTAAAGCCTTTGAAACAACAAGAGTTATGACAAGCCAGCACCCTAGAAGTTATGCCTAAGTTTGACAGTGATCATTTCTCAATCCTACTCCAGTTAAATGTCTTCACTTAGGAAACACACACTGAGGACAGTTACCAACTCTTTCTAATGCCAGCAGGAAGAACTTACTGCTGAGCCAAGTGAACCACCTGCCCCATCTAATCAAATGGTAACTGAGCTACTGGCCTCAGATCACCTACAGAGCCTTCAGTCTGTCTTGACTTCAGCTGAGCCTCCAACTATAACCCCCTTACCCAAGAGTCCACCAGCATTTAACTTGTTGTAACAGTGCACCCTTGAAGCAAGAACAGCACCACTTGAAGCCACGGTTTGATAAGGACTGTGTTAATCCCAAAGAAGGTCTTGCTACCATTTACCAGCCTTTTGTATCCAAGACTACAATGACAGCTGCACGGGATCTTCTCCAGTAGAAGAGATACTACAAACAACTGCTGGCACACCAGAAAAAGGAAGCCATGAAAAACAACTGAACACGACTCATTCAAGCAGTCAAACCTAATGACTCAGCCTCTTTCTGGCATATCACATCAAGCTCCCAAAGCAATGGTCCATCCATGGTGCACTGTCACATCCACCCAGGGACCTGGCAGGCATACTTTCAGGAACTTTACATGGACACCTCTGTTGGAAGTGGATGCCCTAATTAGACTATGGAAAATCTGCCAATGTGAGCACCAGTGACAGTGACAGAAATCAAGAATGTTGTTGCTCAACTAAAACCAGGGAAGGCCCCAGGAGAAGACCTAATCCTTCCAGAGGCCATTAAAAACATTTTGGGTTTCTGGACCCCCACTCTGGCCTCACTCTTTACCTATGACACCTATAGCTGAGTCCCCAAGGATTGGGGGCTTGCAATCATTGTCCCTATATTTAAAAAAAGGAGAAAAAGAGGACTCTGCTAATTATAGACTGATCAGCCTTCTCAACACAATCAGCAAACTCTATGCAGGACATCTATACTGGAAATTCCAGGAGTGGCTGGAACAAGAAAACATACTTGCTGGGGAGCAAGCTGGCTTTAGAGGCCAATCCACCACTGATCAGTGCCTAGTACTCCAACATTTCATTGAAAAATACTTCTCCTGCAACACAGCTTTCCTTTATGCCGCATTCATAGACTTCAAAGCAGCTTTTGATTCCATATTCCAAGCTAAACTATGGGAAAAAACTGGAGGCCTCCTTGACTGACCAATGTTTACTTCATCTAATACATATGCTTCATGAACAGACCTTGCTTAAGTAAGATGTAACCCCCAGGGCCATCTCACCAGTGCCATTGGAACTGAGAAAGGCGTCAAGCAAGACTGCATATTGGCCCCACTCTTATTCAGTTTTGATATCAACTCCATGATGGGCCATCTCCTCAACACAAACTTTCACTCACCAAAACTTGCTGGAAGACACACCTCTGTTCTACTCTATGCAGACGATGTAGCAATACTTTCAAGAACACCTACTGGCCTTAAAAGAGCACTGAGAGCACTAACACAGTACTGCAAGGTTAGAATTCAATTATCAGAAAACTAAAGTCATGGCATTTGCCAAAAGGTCCAAGAGCCACTCCTGGAGCATAGATTGCCACAAGATTGAGCAGATCTCCTGTTTCAAATACCTGGGAGTATCATTCTGCCAGCAGTAGGAAAGCCCATGGGGATTACATTGCTGAAAATGCACAGAGGAGCTCATCTGCCATCCTTGAAGTCCTCAAGAGGTGGCCACTATATTCCTGCACCACTCAAATTATTTGAAGCCAAGCCAATAGCACAACCTTTTTATGGTGCCAGGCTGGGCCTCTTCTCCAATTTTGCACCATTAGAACTTGTACAATCCAAATTTCTAAGGTTGGCCCTTCAAATCCCAAAATGTGTCTCTAATGCCACACTGAGACTAGAGACAGGCCTCATGAAAGTGGAGGGTAGAGTGTGGGTGACCATACTCAACTACTGGCTCAGACTATCCTTTATTCCTCTTTGCCTTGTCCCATGAACTATGAGGGATGATTTTCAGTCCACATGGTCTTCTACTCAACATGGGATATGATTAGACCAAAGCACTCATTAAACAGCATGTAGCAGACACAGAGTGCCAATTGGATCTACTCAGGTCCACAACCTTTATTGCCAGTGAATCCAACATGTACTCTGTCTCCCCTATGACATACTTAACTAAACTCGAAGTACCTAAACACTGGGGGGCCTTTACTCTGGCACGATGTCACACCCTCCCCTCAGCTGTCCTTGAAGGCCAATACAGGAAGATTCCTTACCCAGAGAGACAATGCCCCTGTGTGGCTCTGGACACACAGAAACAATAGAGCATGTGCTTCTCCAGTGCATGTATTACAAAGACATTTGTACTAGCTTCATGTCACCATTACTGCACAAATACCCAGGGAGCACAGGACAATTCTACATCCCTCTGCTGCTTTCAGGCACCAACCCTGTTACAATATCTAATGTTGCCAGGTTCTGCACAGATGATGACTTGTGCCATAAACTAGTCTTAATGAGCATCTAGTTCATCATACTAGAGTGCTCTGTAATTTGACAGATATAGACTGCCATATGCTAACCTTTATGCTCCCCTACACCAATCTAATGCTCCTACCCTTCCTTTTAGATATATACTTTCTATTTTATTTCTTTTAGTTTGTTATTATTATTTAGATTCTGATGTATTTTCTATGCTTTTTAATTGAGTGTACCCCACTCTCCTTACACTGGTCTTTGACCATAATAAAGATTTGATTTGGTAAGTCAGTGCAACCCAACCTCTTTGCTGGCCAGAAGATTGCAACTGAGAGCAAATGAAACTTTGCTACACATACCTTCCAATCTACAAGAGTTTTACTTTTGTAAGATACCTTTTTGAAAAGTAACTTTAGTGACACCTTGGTCTGATCAAGAATGAATCTCATCTTCTAACAGGATAGAAGAAAAAGTATGGCCTACTTGATTTCCCAAAACTAAAGCTTTCCAGCCTGTGATATCGGTACACAGGGAATTGTTTTACAGCCAATCAGGCTATAAATTACATACAGGTAGTCCCCAGTTTAAGAATGAGTTCCGTTCCCAAAGTCTGTCCTTAAGTCGACAGGTAGGCTGGAACAATATTATTGTATAATACTGTATAAGTAGTATTGTGTAATTAACTTGAACCATTATGTATTTAACTTGAATCATTTAACTTGAATTTTGCTACAATACGCTCCATTTTTAACTATAGGTTGTATGTAACCTGGGCATTCTTAACCCAGGGACTACCTGTATAGCAAGACATTTGATGCCTTTGTTGGAATATCAGATAGTCCTCGACTGATGACCACAATAGGGACCAAAAAATTCATCATTAAGTAATGTGGTCATTAAACGAGGCATCACATGACTGCACCTGATTTCATGTCCTTTTATCACAGCCGTTAAGCGAATCACCGCAGTCGTTAAGTGAGACATCACGTGACTATGACATGTGACCTTCGCTGCCGGCTTCCCCCTTGACTTTGCTTGTTGGAAGCCAGCTGGGAAGATTGAAAATGGCAATCACGTGACCACAAGACGCTGCAATTGTCACAAATGCACAACCATTGCCAAGTGCCCGAATCACGATCACGTGACCGCAGGGATTCTGCCACAGTTGTAAGTGCAAGGACCGGTCATAAGCCACTTTTTTCAGTGCCATAACTTTGGTCACTAAACAAATGGCTGTAAGCCGAGGACTACCTATATATGACACTGTGAATTCTCAAAGGTACCCAAGAAGAAACAAAAGAAGTGGGAATATCAGCACACATCATTTGAGCTTGCTCCAACAAACCAAGGTTATGCTAATTTGTAATAAGATGCCTAAATACATAACTTGATTCACATTTTCACATAATATTTAACTTAGTTTAATGGTAGATTTAACCACAGACTTCAAAGGAGTCATGTAGTTTGTGGTTTTTTTTTCCACATTGTCAACAACTTAGTGATGCTATAAAGTAGACTCTTCTTATATATCAACACAATGAAGCCATTCTCAAATACTGCAATCCTACATGCAAAATTGTTCATTTTCAGCAAACCTCACACTGTGTATCACCATTCAAAATGTATAAAAAAATGCTTCAGGATAAAGTTGCAACAATATCAGATTGCTCAGCAAACTTACTATATTATGGATATCTGGCTCAAGTTATTGTATCATATCAACACCAGTAACACAGAATCTTTCCACTGTTTGTTCTCCTTGCCCCCAGTATAGCAATAAAATTAATTGTAAGAAAAGTTGTACTTACTACTGTGCACAGTCAATCAACTGATATTCATTAGATCTTTCATAGCATGCTTTCACACCTTCATCTTGCCAAAGTGTTTTTGTATGTTCATAGAACTCCTGAAAGCAAAAAATATTAGAGAATGAATAAATCTATATGAACAACAAACAAAAAAAGGAATACATAAAATCCAATATGCTTTTAAATCATGAGCAACAACCAATAAAATAAAATATTAAATGGCAAAAAGTTTCAAGATATTTTCTAATAATGGGTTTCTGCATTAACCAAATCCTGTATCCCCAGTTTTAGCTGATAATATTTCTATGCATAGTAATAGATAATACTTATAACATATGTTAAAGAAGCTTTCTTTACTTATGCAAAATTTCTGTATTCTAATCCAATATTAGAATTAAGTGCGGTTCTCACATAATGGCAATTATATTTGTTCAATTTTAGAAATCTACGTTATGTCATCAAAGAACCTTCTTGCAAGACACACTGCAAAATAAAAATTAGAGGTCACTTGACCTAGAAGAGAAGCTTTATCTGCTTCTCTGTCATCCGATGCTGAATGTGACAGGAGAGTGTTGGGATTTCAAGTGCAATTTTCAAATGAATTTTAAAAATGTTAGAAATACTCCTTTCCCCCTTTTTGGAACAATACTAGAACCTTAAATAATGTCCACTACAGCTACGACATTACAGTGTTCCTCTCTATAATAGATTATTAAACTTCTTTTCTTCATTCAGAGGAACCCCACTCATCAGGACAATCCAAGCTTCTAACACAGAACCAAATACATTTTTTTTTTTCAAATTACCAAATCTAATGTTTAACATACTTTTTTTTAATGTAAAGAAGCATTTTGAAAAGTGTCAAACTAGTTAAGAAAGTTCCAAAGAGCATTTCTCAAACACAGTTCACTTGTGTTGACTTGTTTTGGAATCCATTTTCAATCAGTGAACTCCGAAGTACTGGATTTTCAGGTTCAAAACAAAAAACAAAAAACACCTAAATAAAACCCAGAGATCTCTGGCAAGGACTCCAATAAAAATACAGCGAAGTTATGTGAACTTTCCAACACCTTCAACCCAATACTCACACAACAAAGAATCCAAGGAACTAAATTTTATCGGCATTTTACTAGCATTTCTTATATTCCCAGGATGCCTTAGTGCAGCGTTTTTTAAACTTGTTGACTTTAAGATGTGTGGACTTCAACTGACTGGCAAATTCTGGGAGCTGAAGTCCACACATCTTAAAGTTGCCAAGTTTGAAAAACACTGCCTTGGTGCAACTGATCTCTTTAAATCAGGGTTAAGTGATTAGCCACACACTTTTTTTCCTTTTACCACAACTAGTGCAAATTTCCTCCTGCCTTTCCTATGTTGGCTTTCACCTTTAAAATTAATGTTGAATTTCCAACAATATTAAACTCACTTTTCACTTAAATTCAGCAATAATTAGCTGACATTGAAAACCATCACAGAATGTGTCATTAAGCAAACATGACAGCATCTTAAGTACATTACACGACAGTTCATGTTACAAGATAATCAAGTGTAAACCTTATGTGAATTGCCTGGTGCAATACCAGGTGCTGGGGACTAAGAATAATACTTTTTGAATTTAAATATGCAGATAGATCCACGATCATGTGAAACATATCTGAATTCACACAACATGCTAAGCCAAAAATCATAAGCTACATAACCACATATTTTCCTAAGGTAAAGCCACATAACCCACTGTATAGTAGGATTATGGGACGTAATGCTTGAAAAGGACCTTTCAGATCATTTAGTCCAACCCCCATCTGGTGTAGGAATCTACTGCAGCAGCATCCTTGACAAGACAGCCATCTAGGCTACGTTTAAATACCAACCAATGAAGCACATGGTTCCTTTGTTAAATAGTTCTTATCATACAGGAGTTTTGTCTTGATGTCCAACCCAAATCTACTTTCTTATATTTTAAAACCATTTTGTCCTGCCTTCTGGAATGACTCTGAACAATTCTGCCCCATCTACAACATGACTTCCCTTCAAATACTTGAAGACCGCGATCATGTTTCCCTACTGTTCCTCTTCTATAGACTGAACTATATGCCTCCAACTATTCCTTATAAGGTTTTCCTTTCCGGCTTTTATCCTGGTTATTCTCCTCTGAGCCTACTCCAGGTTGTTAATGTATTTCTGAAAATGTGATGCAATATTCTAGGTCTGGCCTGACCAATGGAGAACAGGGAAGAACAATTATTACTTTTGATCTTGATGCTGTACTTCTGTTGATGAAGACTAGGACTGCATTTCCTTTTGGTGCAGCTGCGTAACACTACTGGTTCATGTTCAACTGCTGATCCACCAAAACACCAGAGATTATTTTTGCATGTACTGTTCCTAGTACACCCCCAATAATCAAGTTTTGGATTTTTTAAAATCCAAATGTAGGCCTTTGCATTTATCTTTATTGAACTTCATCCTGCCCATTGTTCCAGCTTGTTAAGATTCTCCAAATCCAACCCACTTTTTACCATCTTCTCTACTATGATCTCAAGGGAGGTGGTACTGAATGCTTTTCTGAAATTGCAGTACACAGTGCCCACTGTATTCCATGGTTAGCTAAATTGGTCACTCTATCAGAAAAACAAATCAGGCTGAGTTGGCAGGGCTCTTTTTGATAAACCCATGCTGGCCCCTGTCAAGCAATGCATTCTTTCCTAAATGCTCACAAAGTGACTTCTTTATAATCTGTTTTGCCTGTTACTGACATCGAGCCAATCTGTATATAGTTGGCCAGGACCTATTTTTCCCCCTTTTTGAAGATAGAGATGTTTGCCCTTCTCTAATTCTATGGCAATGCACTTGTCCTCCATGATTTCTCAACAATTACTGAAGGGGATCCAAGATAACATCCACAATTTCTTTCAAGGGCCTTAGATGTACAGTGGAACCTCGGGTTACAACCGCCTCTGTTAACGAACTTTTCGGGTTACGACCAGCTCCGGCCGCAAAAATTTACCTCGGTTTGCGAACTCCGCTTCGGGGTACGAGCAGGATACGTGGCCATTTTCCCTCCCGTGACACGGTCCACGGCCATTTTTCTGCCCCTGACACATGGTCCGCGGCCATTTTTCTGCCCCTGACACATGGTCCGCGGCCATTTTTCCGCCC